CCCCAAAACCCCAAAACCCCAAAACCCCATATCAATTGTAATTTTTTGAAAGTTTAAATTAAATAAGATTTTGAATAATACTTCAGATAGCAATGGATACTGATACTAAAAACAATCGTGACGATTTCCCCTTGAATGAGGAATCAAAATCTTCTATAACATTTAAAAAACTCATCTATGACATGTTGGTCACTCATGATAATGAAGAGCTAAAGAGAGAATACTTAGAACTCAAGCCAAAAAGAAGCAATCCTCAAAACAAAAAATTAAAAAACGTATCTAGTAGATATGCACAAAACCTGAACCATAAGAATATATCAGCTCAACCGAGAAATAGATTCATAAATAAAACATTCGACAGGAGAAGAAAAAACGAGGTTGAAATAAATGATAGGAAATAAAAGGTTCCTAGATACCCTCAAAGAATCGCCTAAAAAGAAACCTAAGATACAAAACAACACCCTCAGAATCAACCCTATCCAGCCCATATCCGCCTCAAACACCCATAAAACATCCATTCTTACCCCAAAACCCCTCCATCCAAATCCACCCAACCAGCCACCCTCCAAAAAACCTCTCCAGCCAAACCCCCCTAAAAAGCCCTTTCACTCTAAAAATCCCACTCAGCTTACCCAAGACCCTAAGAACATAAGCACAGAAGTTCTTCAGACTGAGCCAAAAGGTGCGAACAAGCTGGAAGGTGTGCTTATAGGAAGACCTGAGGGTGTAGAAGGGCAGCATGAGAGGGAGGAAGAGATGGATGTAAGGAATGAAGTAGTGGAGGAGAGGGTTAAGGGAGTGAGAGAGGAAGGGAGGAAGGAAAGAGAGGGAGTGGAGAGTTGTAGAGAGAAGGCTATGGGGGTTGGAGATGAGGATTGAGGGGGAGAAAGGATTCATGGAGAAAGACAGGTACTGGAGGAGTGTAAAGTTAAGACATTGATGGAAAGCTCTCAAGAGCCTAATGCTCTTCCAGAACAGCCTACTCCAACTAAAGAGGATGCTTCTAAGCCAGTTTGTCTTGCTTCTCCTTCTGTTCAGGAAGGCTTGCCTCCTGACCAAGATTACGCTCTGCCAGAAGATTCTTCTGCAGGACCAACTCCTTGCAAAGGAGTTGAAGAGGAAGAAGATATTGAAGTCATACTAGACAGATTCATTGACCCGGTGCAGACCAGCGAGGAAAGTCATGAAGTCGATGGAATTAGGTTAGCCACAGTGAAGAGCAAGATATTGAAGGTTCTTCTCGGAATACTCAGCGTACTAGACAAAGGAGATGATCTAGAAGAGTTCTTTCAGATGAAAGGCCCCACTAACGAGAAGCTTGCTTGCCAGAAATTTAGTGCCTTGATGATAAATGAAATGTACGATCTGTACTGAAATTTACAGTACTTGCACTTCCCTGATCGAGTCAGTGTATGATTACTGAGGAAAGTGTTTCAGACAAGAGAGTATCTGAAGTATCAAGTTGTTAGAGAGAAGTTCAATGTCAAAATAGAGTTGATTCCTTATAAAGTTCATGTGGTTAGCTACTTAACTTCTAATGTCAGCGAAAATCCTATCAATCCAGGGCATATTTATGACTTAGGGAAATATCTCTATGAAAAATACATCTCAGATAGGGTTAAAATTATTGAAAAATTACGTGAGACTTCACACTTTTTGTTCTGTGATCAGCTGTACTTCTTACCCTTAAAATATCATCCAATCCATGAGGATGAAGAAGAAATCAAGAACACCCAAATTGACTTAGCCAGAGAGGACTGTGCTAAAATTCTGGACTTCTTCAAAATAATCTGCACTCAACTAGTAGACTCAGGGTTCCCAAAAATATTTGAGAAACACTTCACTTCAGAATGGCTTGATGACCAGAACCCAGAAGATTTCATCAAACTTGAGTCTAAAAAGATTGATCAAGAATGGGAAGACAAGATTTTAGAAAATAAATTAGAAAGAATCTATGAAAATGACGAAAAAGCTACTGAAGACCTTGATAAGCAAGTCAAGAAATTTTTGGCACAAGAAAAAAATCAAAATTTTAAATTGGATCTAGAGGTACCTCAAGATTCGAAGCAACTTATCGAAGATTCTGATGAAGAAAAAGTTGATGAAGCTCAAAAAGATCAAAAGGTTGAAAGCAACAAAGAAGATAAGGAGCAAGAGGAGGCTAAACCCTGAATAGATGTAAACAAACAAGAGAAAGATAGTTCAAAAGACGTAACAGATACTTCTCAAGAAGAAACCAAAGGAGTTATACAACAGGATGCTGAGAAGAACGACTTAACAGAAAAGGCATCTGTGGACGATGATAACACTATAAAAATTGTAGAAATTGAACTAGATCCTCCTCTTAGCATTCTTGAAACAATGAACTTGACTTTCCTATATGAGCCTTTGAAGTACATCTTCAATTGAGATCCATTCTGAGGAATCAAGGAACTTAACTTAAGAGGCTGAATTTCTATGTCAAAGACGTGCTTGATGTACATAATTAAATCATGAAAATCAGTGAAAGATCTAAACATCTCCTTCATTCCAAGCGTGGACGATGATGTGGTTATAGAGATTTCTAAAAACTTTAAAGATACCCTTGAAGTAATGCAAGTTAGATATTGTCACAAGGTAACAATAGAAGGTATCATAGCATTCTGTGAAAATATCTCTGGGTATACCAGAGTTTTAGAGGAACATCAGAAGGAAGGTAAGGACACCAAGAGGCTAGCTTACCACTTCCCTACTGAGAGCAAACTTGAGAGGCTAAATCTTGCAGATAACAAGCAGTTAAGAAATGAAATATGTAAACCGATAGCTAACTTCTTGTTTCCTATCTTAGGAGAACTTAATATATGGGGAAATCACTATATTAACGATAAAGGATTCCTTGACTTGTGTATCACTAGATCTGAGAACTTCCAAAGGATTAACTATTGAGGCTGCTACAAGGTGAGTGATGACTCAAGGCTGTGGCTGACTAACCAATTCCCCAGAATGGTTATTTACAACAAAGTTGACGAGTTCGGAGCCCCTTTTTACAGATAATTTCTCTCAGTTGTGTAAATTTTAGTTATTGTTTCAATATAAATATGGAAAATTGGGGTTTTGGGGTTTTGGGGTTTTGGGGTTTTGGGGTTTTGGGG